ATAGCTCATTGGAGGCAGGACACATGCGGACTCCCTGCAAGACATTACTGACAATGAGCCTGAAAGAGCTACATTTAGGCTGCCAGAGCCCTGGGAGCTGCTGGAGCCACCTGGGGACCCCTGCCAGCACTGAGATATTTCTACTGCCACTGGATCCACAAGAAATTCCACCCACTGGCCTGTGATCATCCTGCATTCGGCATTATTGCATGGCTGTGTGAGTCTAAAGAGGAATTTATGGACCAGCATTGGACATATGGGTTAATATTGGACTTATAGACTTGGTCTGGACTGGGCTGGGATATTTTCTCAATATTCAATTGCTCTTATATAGAAAGTTCTTTCTTATACACATATGAGTGCCCATGAATTTGTTTCTCTAGTGTACCCAGACTGACACATTATTGTACCTGGGGAGTGGAATGCTAGAGAAACAAATCATAAAGATGGAGAGTGATTCTTTGTTTGACCTCTGCCTCGTGGTAATTTTTTTCTCTCTGGCTAGCCGAAGGTCAGATATAGCCATGCAGTTCACGGTGTTGTCTTTTGGAAAGAATATGGGGATTTAAAGTTTTGATTCCTGGAAATTGTCCTTGGTAAATCCTCTCTGAAATGGTGAAAATTATTGTGATAAATGTGAGTCTCGAGCTCGAGTGGCAAAATCGCCCCTTGAATTTCTCTGAGACCAGGCTGCTTGGTCAAAATGGCTGACAGAAAGCCTGGCTCTGGCTTGAAGCTGTCAGAGGCCGAATCCTATACTTTGTAGCAATGGAATATTTTAGATAAGGATTTAGATAAGCTAGATAAGGATTGAACTTGACTGTTTTAAGAATTGAGTTTAGGATTTGATTCTACTTTGTTTATACTGCTATCTTCTGCTTATTATTGTTGATAAAATGATTGATAGAAATGATTATTGGGAAGTATGAAAATAGAGTTTGTAAGCCTTTCCTTGAGCCATTAAAATTGGACCGTTAAATGGGTTAGGGCACACCTGCAAAGAAGGCTCTGAAAAGCTAAGCCCCACCCAGTGCTTTGGAGTACTCAGGACATTTCCATTCCAAGAGACTTGCTTAGGGGGCTGTTGACAGATTGAGGGAAAAGGAACTCTTTGGATTTTTGAATTTTGAACTGGTGGTTTTTGTCAGAAGTTGGAGAAAATCTGGAACCATGAAGAAAACTCCTCTCTAGGGCTGAGCATTAAAGGCAGCCTGTGGCAGCCTGAAACGTTTGCTAGGTGACCACCTGGATCCACTTGTTGAGTGGATGTGGAAGGAAAGCAGCAATAAACAGATGGGTTGAGTCTGGCCACTGACACCTGTGGACCTGGTTTACAGGGACTAGAGAAGAAGATGAGAACAGGTTGACTGGGCTGAAGTTCATGACCTAGCCCAAAGAGGCTAGGGTAATTGAGAATTTGTGGCCATGGTCTAAAGGCAAGGCAACCCTGGTGAAGCTAAGTGAGGCAGCACACATTAAGGTGACTAGACCCGGACCAGATGAAGATTTTTGAGCCTGTGAATTGGTCCATAATGCTGCTGACTTTATGGATGGCCTGTCCTGATTTGACTTTGCTTATGGATGTGGACTTCACAAGGTTCCAACTGGAATGAAGATTCTTCACGTCAAAGAATATGATTGTCTCCTCAGAGCACTGGGTTGATGTAAGTGGGCAGTACAGAAATTGGATACCCAAAATTGGGTGGATAAAGGCAGGAAGTAGCTGGCTTACAAACTTTCACAGGTGGGGGAAATATATTCATAGGACTATAGGACTACTGTGTAGGTGTTATTTAACTGCAATTATTAAGCATAGGATATTTTGTTTTGTTCATTTATAGAATGTTATGTTTAAATGAGGGTGGCACATATTGAATTGTATGCATTTTAATTTTATCCTGCTAGGTACAGATATGATTTTATTATTGTTTGTTTGAAGATTATATATGGCTAAAGAGTTGTGTGACAGTGTCAAATTGACAATGGGTAGCGTGTGATAGTTACTTAATCTGTTGTCAATTTGAGCCTTAAGAGTGAAGGGGTGGTGTTTAGCCTGTCAATCAGGTCGCAGCTTGATGATCTCATTTGGAGGCACTAAGGAGATAAATAGCTCACTAGAGATGGGACACACGTTCACTCCCTGCAAGACATAACTGACAACGAGCCTGAAGGAGCTTCACTCATGCAGCCAGAGCCCTGGGAGCTGGAGGAGCTATGTGGAGACCCCTGTCAGCGCTGAGATGCTTCTACCACCACTGGATCCACAAGACTTTCCACCCACTCTTCTGTGGCATTATTGCATGGTTGTGTAAGCCTAAATAGGAATTTGTGGACTAATACTGGACATATGGGCTAATATTAGACTTATGAACTTGATCTGGACTGGGCTGGGATGTTTTCTCAATATTCGATTGCTCTTGTATAGAAAGCTTTTTCTTATACACATGAGCACTCATGAATTTGTTTCTCTAGTCTACCCAGACTGACACACAGTTGTTCATAAGTTAAACTCTGATAGCATTCCTTTCTTTGATTCTGGATTTTATTATTTCTAATCTTTGTATTACACAGACTAGTGTGCATCTTCTATATAGGCTTACTTGACACCTCACATAGATGGCTGCTTGTTCAAGGCAAGCCTTTAAGATTCCAGATACTATTCTTTCTGAACCAGGCACCATCTGGTTTCATCACCACATTTTGCTATAGCACCCATATCTTCAGTGATCTCTTCATGAGGCATTTTGATTTTAAAATTGTTTCTGATAATCTTGTGTGTTGAATACTTAACATCACTAAAAGATATAGTTAGTGGCCTTTTAAACAAATCTTAGTGTAGGGCTAGGCTCCTGACATGCCTATGTTTCTAGCCTCACTCCAGTGATTTGTTCTGTTCTTAAGATGGATGCGAAAGGGCATGAATAATAATGGCCATCGCTATAGAAACTGACTATAAGAAACATTGTGGAAAATGCAGTATAAACATTAATTTTGACGGAAGAGTTTAATCACAGCTTCTGTTCATACTCACAAGTGTTCTACATACACTTGTTTAACCTGAACACCAAAACCCTCTGAGAAAGGGTGCCGACTACGAAAACTACTGAAAAACCCAATTATTAATTTTGATGGAAACATCTTACTTCAAAATATTTTCAATGACCTATGAATCTGTTAGGAGACCTGGGGGTAAGTGGTTACACATCTGAGTTGCAATCCTCAAAGTGAGCAGTTCATAAATAATTATAGTCTCAGAAACTCAAAGGGGGTCAGTTCTACCCTGTCCTATAGCCTAGGTATGAGTTGGTATCAACTCAATGGCAGTGAGTAATAAGTAAATGCCTCTGTTACACATGCACTTTGTAACTGGCACCGTGGTTCCCAGTCAATAAGTAACTTAGTGTCATACTAGACAACATCATAGCAGAAAGACGTTCTTGTTATTTAATAATAAGTGGACAAAGAAGACAGCCTGCTAACACATGCACAAGGTTCGCATCTGCATAGCTCACAACCATCCAACAAATACCTGTAGCATTTGTATTGATCAGCATTCTCTACCATTATTCCTAGCTCTGAAACTAACTCATCTTCCTTTAAAAAAAAATTTTTTTTAATCCCAGCATATAGTGTCAAGGTTGATGTCATTGTGGTTTCTTTAACTCTTGCATAAAAGTGGCACAGCGGTTACAGATTGGGCTGCTAGCCGCAAGGGTAGCAGTTCAAAACCACCAGCTGCGCCACAGGAGAAAGACGAAGCTTTCTACTCCTGTAGAGAGTTACAGTCTCCGAAACCCACAGGGGAAGCTCTATTCTGTAGGGTCATTATGAATCAGAATCCACTCGATGGCACAGTTTGGTTTTGAATTATCTGCACATAATAATTGTAAGGAGCCAAGATGGTGCAATGGTTAAGAGGCTGGCAGCTAAAAGAAAGCTTGGCAGTTCAATCACCTCACACTTCTGCTGAAGTAGACAGACCTAACCATCTGTTCGTCTGAAGTTTATGACCTAGAAAGCCTGATGGAGCATGGTCTAAATGGACTACACACCATGCAGCAACAACAACAACAACAACACAATAGCTCTGGAAGCTTAATGTATCTTTAAGGATATCAGGTCATTCTCAGATCCCAAACACAGTCAATGTGGAGGATCTGAGACCTTTGCATATATTCCTGCTGGCAGTTCTTCACATTCAAACCTAAAGCATAAATAAATAAATTTCGCCCTGGACAATATTGCACTGATTACCAAATGCCAAATTAACATTCACGTTCCATTTCGAAGGTGACACACCTGCTTTTGCTTACAAGTAATTTAAATGTCTTTAATAACTGCAAATTGGTAGAGCATGCCTCACACAGTCATTGAATTTCAGTGTTTTGATGCCAGTCGACCTGTGTTCCAACAACCTTCTCAGTGTTTTCCGATTCATCATCAAACCATAATGGAAAATGCAAAAGAGCACAAACCACCTCCATGTAGAAAATTATGACCTAGATGGCACGATAAAGCAAATGTACATGAAAAGGTAAATGATAAGGTTCTTTACAATTGTGTTTAGTATTCCCAGGTAACAATAGAAAGGATATTAATGATTGTTGTTCTTGGGTGCAACCCATACATAACAGAAGGAAACCCTGCCATGTCCCATGCCATGCTCACCATTGTCCTTATGTTTGAGCACACTTTTATGGCCATTGTCAATCCTTCTCATCAAGCGTCTTCCTCTTTTTCATTGGTTCTTTACTTTACAAAGCATGATCTACTTCTCCAGGGATTTGAATGATGGGTGCGTGATTAGTTAAAAGAGTTCATGCAAATCCATCTGGTCACAAACCCTGCTCCCTCTACCACTTAGAAAGGTCTGCCAAGCTTTCATTATATGCCAACATTCTCAGGCTTTACCTCTCAATAAAATATGTCCAAAGGACATATTCAAATAGAAGGGAATAAGGTCCCTATGATGTGTGGATGTAAGACTTTGGGAGACTTACCTGTCAAAGGGATTCTAGAATGTTCTTCCCAGCAGGGACAGCACCTCAGATTATCTTTTGCTGTGACATATTGAAGGAGCTCACCAAGTTCACTGATAATAAAAATGATGATCAGCTTTCCCAAATGCCTTCATTCTAAGGTTTATGTGAGAAATTACCTCTTACAAAAAATTCTGTCCTGGGGGTGTCGAACGGATTACTGAAGACAAATGGGTGCATAAGCAAATGTGGCGAAGAAAGCTGATGGTGCCAGGCTATCAAAAAGTATAGCGTCTGGGGTCTTAAA